CGACCGCAAACTGTTTCGCGAAAATCACCTTGCGTGCATTTCCATTCCGTTCCGTTCCGTTCCGTCCTCAAAGACACGCTTTAATTATCACGGCACGAACGCCGTGAGAAAATCGTTTCGCGGCAACAGACAGAAAGAGCCGTTTCCCCTCCCGTCTGCTCCTTTCCACCTCGCCGCTCTGTCAAGTTATCGCCGCCGAAAGGAAGATTAAAAAATCAGGACGCCGAGTTCGTTTCGCGTTGGAAACCGGCCGAAGGGGTTGAAACGGGGTTGGTTCTCGCGTGATTCTCGAGGTCCGCGTCTGCAAAGCCCTCGACGGCGGAATTCCGCGCGATGGCGCGGATTTTTCGACAGGTTCCGCGCGAAACCCGCATGGACGGTTTTCAGTCCCAGTTTCGCGGTCAAAAAGGATGCAACGAACGTTCAAGGCCGACGCGAAAGTTGGCGATAACGAAGGGAATAAATTTACCGCGGAACTCGACGCGCGTACAAAGTTTCCCTGCGAAGATTTATCATCGGGGCTTCGGTCTTGGCAACGGTCCGCCAACTTCCGAACAAAACTGCTTCGTTGTTACGGTATCGCGGAAAAACGTACGCGTCGCGTTCCCGCTGCGGATCAACGAAACCTCGTCGCGACGCCCTCTTTCGCCCTCTTTCGCCCCCTTTCGACCCCGTGCGCACGTCATGGTCGACGGAGAGATTTCGTCGTTCGGGAGAATAACGAACGTACCGAGCCGACGTTCAAAGGCACCGGCAACCCCCCGTCCTCTGTCGTTTTCTATCGATTTCGTCGGATTCGTTTATCGTATTCAATTATCGGATCGATAACGCGATTAAAATCCGCCGAGTACTAGGAACCGCGTAAACACCGATTATGATATATTATTTTATTTAACGGTTATTTAATACCGCGGCCAATAATCGCGATTTATTGTTCGCATTTCGGCCAAGTTTCATAGAGCGTATAATGAACTTTCCGGGCAGAAACATCGAATGAACAAAAATTTACATAATACCGCCGGTGTTCACTTCGTTTCGTCGTGAATAATCGAATCAATTTTCCCCCGGCGTGCGTATTAACCGGCAGGGCGAGAGGGGCAGGGGGCCGGCGAGAAAAAGAGGAACAAACGGTGACCGGGGAGGGGGAGGGGGCAGGAAAAAAGAAAATATTAACGCATCATCGACGTGCATGCTCCGACAACTTTATACGCGTTTCGTTACACTCTTCCGCGAGTTCTCCGACTGCCATGGCCACGGCCAGGACGCGTGTAAATTGGGTTTAAAGTGGCCGAAATTGCGATCGAAATTTTACTCCAATGCTCCAGACCATTATACCACAATTTGCCCCTTAATCTCTACCTTTTTTTTCCCTCCAGCTTTTTATCCGCGTCCGCGAATCGATACTTAATTGCACGCGAACGGTGTTCCCATTCGGCCGGCGCTTCTCGGAAGCGTCCAAGTTGCCGGAACTTCTAAAAAGCACGAGGAAACACGGGAAATTAGCGGAGCAACGGTGTCGCGCCCGCGGAGGGTAGCAAAGGGTGCGAGAGCGAGGTGTCGCGAGTCGAACCGATCCTCGACCAAGGCTAATCCGACGTCGACGGAAAATTCTCCCCGATGATTAAGCGCTTGTCAGACATATGCTGTCTTCGTTGCTTCCCTTCAGCCACGTGGTCCGTGTATGCGTTTCCGTGAAACCCGGGCAACCCCTCGGGCCCGCTATTGGCCGACTAATTTGTCGCCGGTGTAACTTTAGCCGGCCCTTTAAACCATTTCTTTTTTCTCCTTCGGCTTTCTCCTAGTCGCCACCGTTTTCCTTCCCTTTCCCAATTTTTTTCGCCCTTCCACGTCGTACTCGTCAACCCGTGACCAACGTAATTTCCGAGTAACCGTCATACTCTTATCGCGAGAGTTCGACTAATCGGTCCTGCAACGCGATCCTATCCTCGTTTCCCTTCTCGTGCCACGAGATTCACCGCGGGGGTAATTGAAATTATTCGTCAGGGAAATCCGCGAAATTTTTAGCCGTCATCGTTGTCTTTCCGCGCGAATCTCGGGCTAGGAAGAGAGATTCCGCGTGCAGGGAAAATTCCTGTCGACCACGGAGATTGCCTCTAAAGGTCGCCTTTATACCCCGAATTTTTCCTACCCCGAAACAGAGCGCGAGATGAGAGAGGTAAAAGGGAGCAGCTTTCGAGCAATCTCGCGAGTACTTTGCAATTTTTTCCAGCTCGCGAAATATCGAGAAACGTAGTCGGTCGACAGTTGGCTGGGCTCTTACGACATTCTAGCATCGAGAAGACAAGCGAGGGACGAAGACGAAAAGAAAAAAGAATAGCGAAAGAAGAAGAAGAAGAAGAAGAAGAAGAAGAAGAAGAAGAAGAGGAAGAAGAGGAGGAGAAGAGAGGAAGAAGAAGAAAAGGAGAAGCAGGCGGAGAAAGAGGTGGAGGAGGGGAAGGGAGGCGGTGGAGAAGAAGGTGGAGGAGGAGGAGGTGGAAGAAGAAGAAGAAGACGGGCGTGTGGCGTGCGTTCGTCGTACGGGACGTGTTATTAGCCGGCACCCTCTTTCGCGTTGCCCCATCTCCTCGAGCATCGCTCGTCTCATCTCCTTTTTTCTCTGATTTCCTATGCGGGGGCTAGAAACGCGTTTAATTAACATAGCTGGCGTGGCTGCATCCCTCTTCTCCTGGGTGCCGAGCAGACAGTCAGCTTTCACGGGCCATTGCACGCACGATACACGTATTACAAACTATATTTCTTTCTCTCTTTCTCTCTCTCTCTCTCTCTCTCTCTCTTTCCGTGTCTCTTGCTCGCCGTGTCCCTTGCACTCGGCCTAGCCTGCGCCCGGATGTACAGTGTGGGTGTGATTTAAACGTTAACACGAAAATTCGACAACGATGGCCCGCTGAAATACACCACTCGGATGCATCTTCCACGGTCGTTAAAGACACGCGGCAACGCGAGTAGTTTGCCGGACTTGGTCCATATTGCCCGCGAATCGAACCGGGATTTACCCCCCTCGCGGGCCCCAGTCCCTTTTCGCACTCGCATTGCCGAGTTTTTGCTCCGCGGTAATTCGGAAGAACGATATTGCACGGTAGCCGGCAACAGCTGCCTTTTTTGCACTGTGGTTTTTCGTTTAATTCGGCTACGAATACCCGGCGCCATTTTATACTTTTTCATGCGAGCAAAAATTACGAAAGTCGATCGGTCCCCTTTTTCGTACCGCGAATCGGTCATTTACCGCGTGTCGAATTCTTCGAACTATTACACTCGTCGCGTTATTTTCCAATTGAAAGTTTCCGAAGAGAATTTCCAGTAGAACGTGCCCGGGAATTAATAAATATCGCGTCGATGGATTATTTTAATCGTTCGAATCGTAAACGACTATTTTAGTTTTCGCGTAATCGAGAAAGGAAACCGGTATGAACGCGCTAATGCTTAAATAACACTGTATATGTGGACAGATTTCCGTGGTGCACTTGGAAGGTGAATGCGCAGGCGTGTCTGCGCGCGAAGTACCATGTGGCGCTCCGTCCGCGGCGGATATAATGCACGCCTACCACGGAAATGCTCTTTTTGACGGATAGGCCGACTAATTTGGTCGTTGTCACGGGGTATACGCGAGGATTAATGGCGACCACCTAGCTTATGCTACCGCGAATTCCTTGGAAATTCTTTCGCCCCAGCGTCCAGACGAGAGAGAGAGGTGGCCCCTTAATTAACACAGCCGAGTAGAAACAATAACAGACCGCTAACGCTGCTACCCTCGATTTGTTTGTCATGACTCGTGACTAAACGCACGTGGTAATGGAAAAATACGTTCCACTCCGATTCGCGGTATCGAGAATATTTGTTGATGTATATATAGCATTCGCGAAGCACCCGAGACACTGTGACTTTGGGAAACGGTATTCCCACGATCAAGACGATAACACGTCGTTTTCTAGGTTACACGTTTATCAACAAGGAAATGAAAGAGCACGTTGTAGTACGTATGTTTAATACAAGTATCCGATTATCCTCGTTTACAACGTGTAATATTCTCCCACGTAATAGATTCTTTTCGCGATAATTACGCTAATCGCGAATTATATTACGTTAACCTTCCTCATACGCGATACACGAAGAAAACCTTGTGTTAAATATAAGGGGAAATTATTACTGATATGCTCACCGGTCGAAGTGTCGTAGGAAGTACGCAAAGTACGTAAGAATGGATGCTTGCATACGAACAGTCCTTCTCCCTGTGTTTTCAATGCTTCGTACACTAATTACCACTTGCACGAATCTTGACAACGCGATAATTATAAATAAATACGATTTTACAACGACGAGCACGAGCACTGCGCGCCATTTCCGCGGATCGACTGGCAGCCTCGCCACGCCATCTTGCGTACTATACGGAAAATGATTTCAAATTTTATCGGCGTATGATCTTCCGCGGCAAATTTGAAATTCGTTCCTTTACATTTCTTACATACCTACAGACGATCGAATTTATACTTTCCGTTTCGAAAATATTAAAAAGAGGAAAAAGAGAATTAACCCGTATAAAGCCTTACGTTCAACGTGGTCATTTTATTTCCAAGTTAATAATATAACATACAGTAATCTCATTAATAAAATATCGTTATAAACATTTGTGATATAATTAAATAAAACGCAAACGACGGTGAATGGAAAAATCAATAATAGATAACAACAATATCGTTATATCGTCGATACAAACACGAGTACGTTTAATTATGCGAACAAGTATCTAAAATATTAAAAAATACAATTAATCTGGTAGAATTTATTCCTTTTTCAAATCAAGCACCGATTTAATCGAAATACAATCAGTCTTTAATAACGTCTAACAGCTGCTAACCGTTAAACATATTTCTTTAATCCTTTTTTTTTTTTTATTTTTTCAATTATATTTTATCACTAGTAGAATATTCCTCTAAATTTTCTTGGTGAATCAACAGCATTTAGTGCCGTTGGAAAATAGCGTACTACGGACATCAAAATACACACGATCGTCAAGCTTGGCATAGCGAAATCAAGCTCACGAATTGTCGATATTTCGTTTACAGCCTATTTTAAGGAACTCGTGACAGATTTCGTTCTAGTCGCGTTAATAGCAGCGGACAATTTGTGCTCTTCTTGCAAAGCAGAATCGTTCAATACGCTCTGGTACGATCGCGAGATCCTTTCTTTCTCGCGCATCGCGAGGTTCTGCCATTCTTTCTCCAATCTGTACATCAGCTTCTCCCTTTGCAGCAGAGCATCCTTGATCACGGACCTGTCGTCTTCGTACATCCACTTTATCCACATAGCCTTGGCGTCTTCGCTGCAAACGACGTTAAAAAGGGAGGGAGATCAATGAAAAGAAAAATTGCGATAAAAATATTCTAGCGTGTGTCACTCGACCCTTAAAATTCGAAACCACTCGTCTCACGTGGAAGATCAAACTCGGCCTGTGAGAGGAAATGAAGAGGAATGCGGAGGCAACTGAACTTCTCAGAGATTCGATCGTGGACCGCAATCCTATTTGCGATCTATCGAGGAACGATGTAGGGCGTGCAGGATGACGAATGTCTTGGCACGTATTTACGAAACACTCGACGCGTGTAAGAGGGTAACGTATACCGAGAGACATGAATGACTCACTACTTTCGGTTGCAACATCCACGTATCTCGACTAATTCGAGAAGCAGGAGCTGCCATTCGTCGTCCTAGACCCTTAACATTGCTCACGGTCACATGCCGGTATTGCGACAGGTCCGATGATGATTCGTCGATTCGTTAAACGAACATAAAACGTCATCACGGTGCCATTAAACCTAGCACGATCATTCGAAGCAGGTAATGTGCGAATCTCGAAAGAAGCGTGACAGAAAAGAGAAATGAAGATCCTAAAGATAAAGATACCTAGGTTTGGTATCAAAGCAAACTAACTGGCAGATCAATATTTATCGATTCGTACGTAACGTCCTTGATGACGTGCATATAAAATAATTCCAATATTTTCATTCGTAAATCTCACCTGTACATCGTTGAATCCATGCAGATCTTCTCTCGTTCGACGAGTTCCGCTTCTCTCTTGTCGATATTGTCCAGTCCCAACTGCCTCGACTTTTCGTCCAGGTCTAAAAGTTCCATATTATACAGTTTCCTCTCGCGAATCAGCTCCAACTTGTTCCTCATGTCCCTCAGCCGCAAGGCCTCGTCCCAATACTGCTTATTGCGAGCGTGCATTTCCCTCCTGTCCAAATCCACGATATTGCGTTTCAGTTCTTTGTAAGTCAGGTAGAGGAACATCTGTTTCGAGAGATTCTTGTCACTGGGATTTATCCGTAGCCACGGGAAGCTCTTCTCAACCTCGAACTGTCGAGTGTCCGTTTTCGCATCCTGTTCATCTTTCACGCTCCGTTTGTCTAGCGAGTTGTCCGACCTGTGTACATCGACATTTTCGCTTAGTCGATCAGGCGACGGTCTCTTAGAGTCTACGTTCTCGTCGTCTCTTTCACGAGCAACGTCTTCCCGTTGGGGATTCTTTGCGCCGCTTGTGTCGCCCTCTGTCGAGCTGGAGGAAAGACTTCCGGTTACTTCGCCATTTTGCGGGTTGCTCGGTTTCGCATCCTGTTCCGTCCTGTTCTCTCTGTCGTCTCCAAGCAGAACCTCGCCGTTCGGGAAAGAG